ACACACACACACACACACACACACACACACACACACACACACACACACACCAATCACTGCAGCTAAGACAAGCTATTGGATGGCACTATTTAATCTTAATTTTTATACAGAATCTTTGTGATCTCATCCTATCTTAGTAATTGAAACCACAAGGAGCTGTAGCATTGTTCAATGAGAGACGGGGGGTTGTGGTTGCAAGCATTTGGTTAGTAGTGCTGAGACAAGCGTGATCACATGAGAAGCAAAAAGCCTGCCCTAAATCCCCTTACGCTGCGGAGTCCAAAAGGGAAATTGCATTTCTCCCTGTCCTCCTCAAATCAAGTCAAAGGTGCAGGTTCAACTGCTGAATATCATCATGGAACTTGCATATGAGGGGTTGCCCTATCTAGAGGTGGTAGAAACTAATATGCGGTGGCTTGATTCAGAGATATACAAAATACAGGCTGTTGATACATGCACAGTTAAGAGCTGATGCACATGCAGGCAGTGGGGATGATTATGTTAGCCTTGGACATGTGATGTTGTTCCCCATTTCATAAACAATGTATCCAAAAACTCATGGGAGTTTGTGCCCACAACATCAGATCGAATGATGCTGGTCTATTTCTCATTTTTTGTATATTTTTATGAGGTAACTCACTTGTATTCTGTCAAATGAATGTAGTTGTAATGCAGTCATTCTCATTGAAAATGAGATCAGGCCAAAACAATGTCAGTTTAGCAAACAGAAACCAAGTCAGTGTTCCATCAGTAGGTCTGCATGATGCCGTTACTACCCATGGACCTGAAGTATTCAAATAGGTCACTGTTAGTGGAGCAGTGACCCCAGAGAGACAGAGTAAGAATGATGGCTTCAACAGTTTTACTGTTTTAAAACGTTTTGTCATAATGTCGTAATGATTCGTCATCAGAGGGTGTTAAGATCATAAAAGGTTTCATCGCTTGTTTCCTGTAGCGTCTTCAGACAGTGCAAATCTCTGTGAAGGAGTGACAGGGTTCCTTTCAACAACAGAGAAATTATCATCCACTGATACCTGCTGTTAGGACCCTAAGTCAATCTAGTCCACAAACTCCAAATGTCATGCTGCCTGGATGATAGTCAATTGGAAAATTCACAAGAGTTGCTTTCATTGATGCAGATTTATCAGGTGGTTGATTACACCAGACATGAGCAAAGCTGACGGTGTGACCAGCCAACTTTTAGCTTTTAAAGAGACATTCAGTGTGTACTTTTACATGCCATCAACTCCTCCTTCCCTGGTGTACACAACCCATATGTAGAGGTCTGTGGACACCACAGCTTTTCAACATAGTTCTTTTTCAAGGATTCTGTTTAAGAACAAAACTTCTACTGTTCTGTGTCTGGATCTGACCTTAACTGTCTCACATGTTAAATTTCATATGCACAGCATTTCAACCAGCAGTTATAGGTAAGGTTAGTCATTTGTTTCTGAAACGCTCATTATCTTATTTGTTGAAATCTTTTTTACATCCTGAGCCACTGGTGAATAAAGTCATCTGAAAAAATAAATAAATCTGTATTTATAAGAAATATGAGCAAGCACATTGGCCTACCTGTGCCTTAGTCTTAAAGGGATAGATGACATTCATATTTTTCTGGTAATGGCGTCATTTACACAGTGTTTTTAGCCTAAAAGTGCACTGATGTCTTCCTACGAGGTGCATTCACGGACCCTAGGGCACACTGTCATGTAGCTACGTCATGAAAGCTAGCTAGCTTAGTCACATCCAGTGGGATTTTTAGGCTAACAACACAGTGTAAATGACCTTGTTTCGGATGGCAACAAAATATTGTTTTTTACTTAAGTAAAGCAGTACTTTAGGAAAGTATAAGCCTTTTCTCTTTTCCAAAACACACCATTCTTATGGTGCCTAAACACTGTGAGCAAGTTCCCCACTGTTACTTATGTTAAC